GGAAGTCGGTTGACAGTGTGCATGCTCAGAATCTCGGTCTGATTCCCAGCATACACAAACCAGGCTTGATGGCGCAAGCCTGTTACCCAGCATGGGATCAGGAGTAAGCAAACTGGGCTACATGAGACCCTGCCTCAGAAAAGTCAAGAACGAGCAGCTGACCTCTGGTGCTGTGAACAAGAGAGCAAAGCCTGGCACAGTGGGACTGGCGTTTGCCCAATGTGTTGTGAGAGATGGCTGAAGACAAAGAGTGGGGGAAGAAGACAGGGCTCCCCAGCTCCTCAGCCAATCCCAGCACTGATGACTGTGCCCCCACCCCCACCCCATCAGTGCAGTTAGGCCTGGATCATGGCGCTGTCCCCCGTCCCTGCTGAGTTCCCCATCACCTGAGACAGCTGACACTGCCTCTTGCTTTCTACCCTCGCCTTCCACCTTGCCTGCCTATCTGCCTCACTGGTGTAGATCTGCGTCCCTGCTCAGGACCACCTAGTCATGTTTTTCTGCGCAGTGGTTTGTGGGAAAGCCTTGTCTTGCCAGCCTGTCTGTAAGCTCCTGAAGAGATGAGTCTCTTGCGGCCACTCTAGTGCCTGGCACAATACTTGGCCTGATTAAAGTATTGTTAGTTGGGGGAATCCACACTGACACACCGACACACCTCACCAGCCTCTGATTTCAGCACACCGACACACCTCACTAGCCTCCGATTTCAGCACACCGACACACCTCACCAGCCTCCGATTTCAGCACACCGACACACCTCACCAGCCTCCGATTTCACTCACAGGTTTTGGGCTTTGTTTTGGTTCCTGGTCCTAGCCCTGGTCACAGTGACCCAGCATCATTAGCTCCAATGCCACCCTAGTGCCATAAAATGCATGAAGTTGCTTCTGTGAGGTGGGACTCCCACCGGTCCTCCACTCTTCCAGATGATCTTATCCTGTGTCTGTTCATGCCTTAAGTGTTCTATAGTTTTGTATTTTGAGAAAAGGTCCATGTTCAGTTGGGAACTGGCTACATAGACCAGGCTGGCCTTAAAATTCCAGATAGCAAGGAGGTTGACAGAAGAAAAAAAAAAAAAAAAAAGGCTCACAGATTCAAGAAGAGGAAGAACCAGAACATCTTAGCAAATTGCTCAACTGTCTGGAATAGTGACAAACTCCAAGTCCTAAACTCACCAAACCAAGAAAGGGTTTACTTTGGATGGGGTGGTAACCATGAGCCTGTGGGACTTACTGGGCATTACCCTAGATGCTGGGCAGGGGGAAAGCCATAGGCCACTGTGATTGCTATATATACAGCTGCGTCACAGGCTCAGATTATATAATATGAAAAAGAAAAAATGCTCATTTACAGTTCACAAGGAGGTTAGAAAGATGGCTCCCTGGTTAAGAGAGCTTGTCGCTCATGCAGAGGACCTGGCTCATCACTACGCACAACGGGGGACCCAATGCCCTCACCGACACAGAATGCATACACATATATACATATGCATATGCATATGCATACACATATACATAAACAGAGAAAACACTAATATACATATGTAAATATTTTTTAATTAAGCCAGGGATGTAGTTCAGGGTGGGGTGCCTGCTTAGCATGCCAGAAGCCCTGGGTTCAGTCCCTAGCCTTAGGGAGAAAAAAAAATCTATCTTTCCAAGCCTTTAGTGGAGTTAACAGCAAGGGTTTCTGCAGTCAGCCTCACACAAGCCACCCTAGCCTCTGGGCTTCTTCAGTTTAGCCCCTGTGTGACTTGTCCAGGGAAAAAGGCCATTGTTCTTTAATCTTTTTTTCCCCCATATCATATAGCCCAGGGTAGCCACACACTTGCTTCATAGCTGAGAATAACCCTGAGCTTCATTGTTTTTATTGGCCTATACTAATTATACATAATTACAGGCTCCACTGTAACATCTCCATAGAGTACATAGAACGTATTTGGACCATATTAGCTCCTCATTCCCGTCCTTTCCTTCCTGCTGGTCCTCTTCCTCCTCATGGCCAGTTCCGTCTATTCTCTTATGTTTTGGTGATCAGTGAACTTTTTTGGAGTTCTTTTTGTTGTTGTTTCAAGAAGGGGTTTCTCTGTGTAGCCCTGACCGTCCTGGAGCTCAATCTGTAGACCAAGCTAGCCTCAAACTCAGAGATCTGTCTCCCTCTGCCTCTTGGGATTCAAAGCATGTACAGGCAGCGTCCAGATCAAGGTTCTTACAATATCATGGAGGATGAGTTATGAGAGGCATGGGTAACTTGCTATGGCTACTGAAGAAAATGTCTCTTCTTTCCCCAGTGACCATCAACTGCTTATAAATCCCCCCGGGAGGTAGGGGCCCACAGGCCCAGGCTCTTGCAGGAAACCATCAATCACACCGGTGGGCTGTGAGCTCAGTACAATGGACATAGCCATGCCTTTTTCAAGAAATCTGCTGTTGGTGAGGTGTGTCGGCTGCACAGCCCTTCCTCCAGTCCTGCATGCTTTCCCTCCTCATCCACAGCGCTCACCGGACTTTGGATGAGGTGATACAGCTCTCTCAGTAACAGCTGAGCATCCAGTGGTCCTGTCTCAGCACTTTGACCACTACAAAAAGAAGCTTCTCTGACCAAAGCTGACAAGTTATGGCAGTAATAAACATGATCATTCAGAGGGCAGTTGGACAAGCATCTCGTGTCTGTTAACAACAGCACTAGCTTCCCTTCTGGGTCCCATGACTTCCCAGGCATAGACACAGAGCATAATCATAGCACTAGGGTGAGCTCCGTCCTGTGGAGCAGGCCTCAAATCCAATTGCGAAGCCATTAGTTATCCCTATAGACAAGCCACTGTTGTGTGCCGGAGACCCTGGGCTCAGTAGTGCAACATGAGAACACGGTAGCTGAGTAAGCTATATCCCAAACGCTGCCCTCCAGACTTTATCCACTGTCTAAGGTGCCCTCTAGCTGGTTGGTGCAATAGAACAGAGAGGGCCTGGGAAGATCGCCTACGAGTTCTGAGACCCCAGGCGAGGTCCTTTGCTTCCTCAAGGCCACTCCTCATCTGCAGCCCACCAATTGGTTGACAGGACAAAATGACCGCACCATAATGATCCCCAACATCCCCACCACCACCTACACCATGGCTCTCAACCTTCGTAATACTGAAGCCCTTTAACACAGTTCCTCATGCTGTGGTGACCCTCAAACATAAAACTATTTCATTGCTACTTCATAACTGTAATTTGCTACTACTATGAATCATAATGTAAATATTTGATATGTAAAATGTCTGTAAATATCTGATATTTGACCCCTGTGGGTCCTGAGTTTCTGACATATAAGCTGTTGCCAGTTAGCATGTTTAAGAATGAAATCTCGCCTGTGGGTGGTACACGCCTTTAATCCCAGCATTTGAGAAGCAGAGGCAGGCAGATCTCTTGAGTTTGAGCTCAGCCCGGTCTACTGAGTGAGTTCCAGGACAGCCAGGGATGTCGAGACATAGAAAATATGTCTTGAAAAACCAGCTGGGCAGTGGTGGTGCATGCCTTTAATCCCAGCCCTTGGGAGGCAGAGGCAGGTGGACTTCTGAGTTCGAGGCCAGCCTGGTCTACAGAGTGAGTTCCATGACAGCCAAGGCTATACAGAGAAACCCTGTCTCGAAAAACCAAAAAAAAAAGAAAAAAAGAAAAAAAAAAGAAAAACTAAAACCAAACCAAACCAAACCAAACCCAACCCCAGAATGAGAATCTCTTGCCCTGTCCTCTCAAGCAAAGAGGATATGTAGTTGTTGGTCATCACATCTGTGTCCACTAGAGGGCACCCTAGCCCCAGAGATGGCCCCGCCCCACCAGGTATGCCTCAACGTCAAAAAATGTCTATATTACTTGGCCCAAAAGGTGGGGGTGAAATAGTTCAGAAAGTACCAGCTTAAGATGCCATCAGTCAGACAAGGGATCCCTTCCTCCTTTTTAGGCAGTAAAACCCTGTTGGGACTGAGACAGAAACTGGGATGTCCCTCCAACTCTACTTCCCATGATTGGGCAAGGTATTTCCCTTGCTGGCCCAGTTCACAGGGTCGAAAACACCAAGGTCTCTCCCAGAGCTGACACTGGACAGAGTTCTAGGATTGGAGATGCAGGTTTTTCTTTTTCATCTCTGCCTGCATCTACTCAAGCCAGCTCACACTACTGCTACATGGTGAGCAGAGACCGTCGGGACACTGCATGTCCCAGCCCCTGACGCCAGATGCCCAGACTCCGAGACAGCAAGATAATCAGCCAAGGAAGGCAGAGAGGCAAGGTCAGGTGAGCAAGGAGCCCCAAAGGGTCTTGATTCATTCAAGACAGACATCCGGTTTCCTCTGGCCTCTCTGCCAGGATCCAGGGGCTTAAAGAAATGAGTCATAATGGGGGTATTGGGGAGTTCCCGCTAATCAGTCTGGGACAGAATGGCCTGGACCATCTTATTTTTATCCGAATGTGGGGTGGGCACAGACAACAAGACCCTACCTAGGATGCTGTGGAGGGCTCCTGGCACTGCAGTAGGCAGTCACCTGGAAGTTTATGGGTCTGAAATGAAGACAAGTTCTTCCTTTTCTCTCAGAATGTTTGTCCCAGGTATGGGTGACTTGAGAATCACAAAGGAAGGGCAGAGGGGTCTACCCAAGCACGTCTGCCAGAGGATGGAGAGACAGGAGCAGTCTTGACTTGACCTGGGGGCCTGAGGTCCCTGCTATCCCCTCCAGCAGCTCAGCCTTGTTGGACAATTCAGATCAAACATTCTGCAGCAATTCAGGCCTGGGTGTGGCTGGAGGAAAGGAAGAGAGTTTGGGGGGGGGGGACAAGACGTCAAGGAAGGAACAGAGATTCCCCGATTTCACAAAAACTTTCGCAAACAGCTTTTCCCCAACCCCCTGCATTGTCCTGGGCGATCAACAAATTTGCATAAATCCTGGGAAGTTATTACTAAGCCTGAGTTGCCCCAGTCCCAGGTAATTTCCTCCCCAGCCTTGATGGGTTTATGTATAAAGGCCCCCTGGAGCTGGGCAGAGCCCAGAGCTGCAGCCCAGATCACCCAGAATCCATGGCTCAACTTTCTGCCCAGAGGCGCATGAAGCTGATGGGTGAGTGCCCTGGTTACCTACCCTGGGTGTGGACTGGAGGGAGGTTGGAGCAAGTGCCTCAGACCCGTCTGTTTGCTCCCAGCCCTACAGCTGCTGCTGTGGCACAGCGCACTATGGTCAGGACAAGAGGCCATTCCCCTGGTCACTGTCAGTTCTCTGCCACCATCCCTGGCTTTGCCCCGAAGCTTCCTGCTTAAGTCCTTGGAGCAAGTGAGGAAGATTCAGGCCAGTAGCTCGGGGCTGCTGGAGCAGCTGGTGAGTGGGGTTGTGAGAGGTGTGAAGGGAAGGACCTGGGGGCTGGCAGGAGTGAGTGCAAATGGGAAGAGGGCAGGCTAGGGACACACAGGGTTTTGTCTAGTGTGTACAAGAGCCCGAATCACACCCTCAGAATACTGACGGAGACATTGAGGAAGGGAACATGGGGCATGAAGGGGACAGGGGAAAAAATGAGTAGAGACAGCAGTGGGACCTCTGGATAGGACAGTCCTTAGGGTTCCTAGGGAGGTAGGGAGCCGAGAAGCCAGGTGGACAGAGGAGCCAGAGGACCTGAGCTGGAAAACCAGCCTGGCCCAGGTAAACACCCCCAGTCTCCTTCTGTCTACAGTGTGCCACCTACAAGCTGTGTCACCCCGAGGAGCTGGTGCTGCTTGGCCACTCTCTGGGTATCCTGAAGGCTCCCCTGAGCGGCTGCTCCAGCAAGGCCCTGCAGCAAGTGAGTATTTGGAGAAGGAGGACCAGAAGGAGGAGGAGGATAAGAAAGGACTGCATCCTAGTACTGGGGCTCCTGAAGAGAGGGGGTATCCCAAGGCATACTGCCTAACCCTCCTATTGTCCCCAGATAAAGTGCCTGAGCCAACTCCACAGCGGGCTCTTCTTCTACCAAGGGCTCCTGCAGGCCCTAGCGGGCATCTCCCCTGAGTTAGCCCCCACCTTGGATATGCTTCAGCTGGACGTTGCCAACTTTGCCACCACCATCTGGCAGGAGGTGAGGACCATCTGGAGGGGGTCACGGCAGCATGCCTGGGTACCCTGGAGGCTCTGTATCTTTTCAGAGGCCTGTGTATGGGAAGACACCCCTTGCCCCCTACCCCATTCCCTTCAGGCTGAGAGGCAGACTGTCTAGAGACAGACTGGGGTGGGGTCTGGATTCTACTGTTAACATTAACGAGCCCCACAGGCCGGCTTACTAACTCCCCAGCACTCCCTCACTTGAAGGAAGGACTGATCCCTGACTTCATCTCCTCCCCACAGATGGAAAACCTAGGGGTGGCCCCTACTGTGCAGCCCACCCAGAGCACCATGCCAGCCTTCACTTCTGCCTTCCAGCGCCGGGCAGGAGGTGTCCTGGCTACTTCGTACCTGCAGAGCTTCCTGGAGATGGCTCACCAGGCTCTGCACCACTTGGCCTAGACCTGTGTAGAAAGCCCTTTCCAGATAGTTTATTTATCTCTATTTAATATTTATGCATATTTAAGCCTACTATTTAAAGACAAAGAAGAGAAAATGGAGCTCCGAGCTTCTAGATCCTCCTCTCCACTTCTGAGTTTTGTTCTCCTGCTTGGAGCAGAGAGAAGGCTCTTGCGTCCTCCTGTGGAGGGCAGGGAAGGAGATAGGTAAATACCAAGTATTGATTCCTGCTGATGCTCCCGACACCCAGTTCTGTGGTGGTACCCAAAAAAATCAGTGAGCTCCACTGTGCTGAGGCACTAGTCTCCGGGGCCCAGGCAGCATCTGGTGGTCTCCCTCCTGGGGGACAAGATATCCCTGTTTAATATTTAAACAGCAGTGTTCCCAAACTGGGTTCTTACATCCCTTGCTCTGGTCAACCAGGTTGCAGGTTTTCCTGTCCCCGTAGGAATGAAGTCCCTAAAGAAACAGTGGTGGCCAGGTTTGGCCCTTTAATTGGCTGGATTCTTTTTTTAGGGCCTTGCTGGCCTGGAACTTGGAGTGTAGGAGGGAAAGGTGGGAGGAAGCCTGTGGGGAGTGCACGACATGGAGGAAGGCCTACCTGTCTACCCTCCCTCTCTACCCCACGTTACTGTAACCAAGCTTGCGGATAATAAAGTGTTTGTGTCCAGTACATGTTCTTCTTCTTCCTTCTTTGGTGTGGCTAATGCCTGGCCAGGGGCTGGTGCGAGAGGCCAGATAGAGAAGGTGCTGGGAGAGGGCGGGACACCCTGGCTAACCCTGACCAATCCTCCGGGTGCTACTCTGTACGGTCTTGAGCTGTGTGACAGGGACACAGCACTAAAGATGCCCACACGGTCCCTGCCTATAAGCCACAGCTTCTTGGGAAAGAAAACGAGTTGACGGATCATACATCAGTGGGAGAGGCAGCCTGGGAGTGGCCAAGCTGCAGCCAGGGCACCCTGAACATGTGCACAGGCCTGGCCTCTTCACCACCTATGAACAGCCCTCTGCAAAGCTGCCCACTGGGTAGGATGACATCATGCCTTTTACAGACAGAAAGCTGAATTCAATGTGACTACTGGATCAGAACTCGGGTTCTGGGGTGGCTGGTTTCCCCTCAACAAGCTCTATCTCCCCACAGTCTCCTGCTTGGCTCACTTCTGAGCTAAAGAAGCCTAAGAGTAGGGAGGCACACTTCAGCGGATGGTCAGCTGCAGGCTCCCCTGTGGTTCAGAGCTACCCAAGGCCAACCTGTCACTTCCGTCTACACCTCAATGCCTCCCACCACCTCCCTTCCCACAGCCTCACAGGCCCATGTCCCTTGACTCCAGAGTATGGTGGACAGAGTCCTCACCGTCAATCCCAAATAATCTGGCAGGAACACACACTGAACTCTGGGCCAGACTTAAAGACTATACAGAGCAGGGGCCTTTCACCAGAACGTCTTTCTATGGTGGTGCTGTGGTGCCGCTGCGGAGTCCTTACCATTGCAGTGGAACATGGACAACGAGACCATGAACAATGCTACGAGCCTCTCACACCTCTCCTCCCCATCACAGGACTACAGCCCTCCCTGGCCACCACACAGGAGACTGCAGAGAAAAGACACTGTCCCCACATGAGCAACAGAGCCAGAGCCACCAACAGCACTTGATAGCCACAAGGATCTTTATTTACAGAGGATCCAAGGGTTCCCCATTCATGGGTTATAAAAATAAACTTATATATACATGGTGGCCCTGTACAGTCCTTCCTTGAAGTACAGCACTGCTAGAATTGGGGCAACCAAAGGGACAAGGACAGAAATTACAAAAGCAACTGGGAGATGAGTAGGGCCATGGTAAGTCAGAGCAGGAGTGGGGAAGGGCTCACTCTCCCAGCTCCCTGCTTGGATGCAGGGGTTGAACCCACTGCAAGCCACTCCGAGCTCCTCAGAGTGCAGCGATGGCTTTGGCAGCTATCTGCCGACCCAGGGGCAGGCTGAGGTCCGTGATGGCCAGAACCACCTTGGGGCTGGACATACCAGACACCTTCACCAGTTCCGATACCTGCCACAGACAGAAGAACGCAGGTAGCACCTGGGCGTAACACCGGAAGAGGAAGATCCCCCCCCTTTCTCTGTGGCTCCCCCTGCAGCCACCCGGGGCCACTCACGGTGGTGAAAGGCATGAACTGCAGAATGCTGCCCCTGCTGTCCTGCTCCAGGCAGTCCACACACTCCTCCATGAACCACTGCACAAACTGGGTGTGGGGGCCGGCGGTGCGCGAGCCCAGGACGGAGGAAATGAGCAGGAACAGGTTGGCTGTGCAGAGGAGAGCAAGACGCACAGTTCTAGAACAGCTCATACAGCAGAGGGAAGGCAAGAGGCGGTGAGCACCAAAGGTAGCAGGCGGAAGATGGCAGTAAAGAGGGCTGAATACACTAGGCAGATGGTCAGTGGTGAGGGGGCAAGAAGGTGTGTGGAGGTGGAGCAGGATGTCCCCTCTGGAAGGACTCACCCAGGACTCGGTTCAGAGGGTCCCTCATGTTGACTGTGTGGAGCTGGGAAGCTGAGAGGGAGGTGTTCATGGAGCGGTCAGCTGTGCAGTGGGAGGGAGGGCACTGCATCAGCTCTGACTCCAGGGAGCCTTACCTGTCCCCATCAGGGAGTCTGCTGCACGAGGGAACAGAGGAGCCGGAATCTGGGGAACCAGGTCTCCTGAGCACCCTCTGAGACCAATCCTGGCACTCTGTGACTTACACTGCCTGGCCCACTCAGAGCTCATCTTACAAACACACATTCTGTTTGCTAAGGGCCTATCTAAGGTCATAGGTCATAGGTGGGCAACCCAATATCTTTCCTTTGCACAAGCATGTGGCTTGGACCCTGGTCCCTACAAAGCTCCAGAGGAACTTCTAGGTTCAAGAGAAATCTCTGGAAACAAGAAAAATTGGATGCCACACTAGAGTTTTTGGCAGAAGGAAGTCTGTCAGCAAGGATGACATGGGCTGCCCTCTGAGAAGGAAGGCAGCCCCAGGTCGCAGCCTGGTGGGGCCTGTACTCAGCCACAGGGCATGTCTCTGGGTTAGGAAGGAAGGGAGAGTAGATGAGTCACTGGTACAAGCTGTGCCATGCTAGTTAACACACTGGGTGCCTCCCTCGCCACCCTTTCAATGGTGACAAGCGAGAAACACCTGTGGGGTTTGGAGGGACCTTGGAGGAGAGCTTCAGGTCCTATCCCCACTGGCAGGCAACAGAGCCCGCCCTAGGGACAGAGAGGTGTCCCTAGGAAGGAGTGAGTCCTCGGCAGGCCCATGACACCCCAAGTGCTCACTGGGACTTGACAGGATGTTGGCGTCATCCTCATTGGAGCTCAGGAGTCGCATAAGCTTTGAAGGCTGCATGTCCTCCACAGGGAAGAGGCTGATATAGTCCTGGGGGACAGGGAGTCACTGTCACACACCCGACTTTCAAAGTCTCCAGGAGCTGGAGAGAACTGGAGGGCAGATCTGACTGGAGAAGTGAGCGTCCCACAGTCCTTGGCCAGCGTTACCAGTGGTAACCCTTTCCATACCCGTGATCAGAAAAGGACCCTCCCTCATCAGGACTCTCGGGCACTCAAGCCACTCCTCCAGACCCTGACCAATCAGACAGGCCACTCCTCCAGACCCTGATCAATCAGACAGCTCAAAACACAGGCAACTTTAGCCCCAGCCTCTACTTGGGAAGGCAACTCTGTTGTAAGCAATCAGAAAATGTTTGCTGAATAAAAACATGACCAAGTCAGCAGCAGGCCTACCTCAATGTCTTCTCTGTGTCTCTTCTTCTGGCGGGAGGATGCCTGTCCCTTGTGGGAAGAGTAAGAACTCAGGGCACACCACACAGCTAGTCTAGCAAAAGGATGCAGGAAAAAGGCATAGTTAACACGGTCCTAGAAGTAGCTCCATGCTCACAGTCAAGAAGCCCCTTCTACCCCCTACTCCCACCCACAGGCCAACTTCCTGGGGTGGCACCAAGGCTGAAGTAACTGAATCTGGATGCTAGATTGTTGGGGTTCTAGGGGGAACACCAGGAAGGCTCTGGAGAGAGTCCTACTTGGCTAGTGCGGTGCCAGGAGGGTCCATAAGGCTGTGCCACTTGGAGGAGTCAGTAAGCAGCCCAGGCAGGATGTGGCCCAGCAGAACCAGGGTCATCTGCTGCATGTCCAGACAGAAGATGGAGTAGAGCAGCTGCACTGCCCTTAGCGTGTGTTCCTTGCGAGTCTCCTTCAGCAGCTCCTGAGAGGCAGGCAAGTGGTTACTGAGGTGCTGCCTGCCTGGACCCTAGGGCTCTGATGCTCTAGCCACCTCTATAGCCAAAGGTGCTTTTGACCCCAACTCCCAAGGTGCTTTCTCTGAGGTGAGGCCCTACCTCTGTCTCCCCAGGAAACCACCTAGCTTCCAGCAACTTCTCAAAGAAGCCTGGACTATCCCAGCCCTATGACGTCTACTGCCCCACCCACATGGCTGTCCACATGCGCCCCAGCTGATGGTGTCTACTGCCCCATCTACAGGCTGTCCACATGCGCCCCGGCCCGAGTACCTTAATCAGGTTGTTGCAGAACCAGTAGACGCCGCCCATGTGCAGCAGGGTGTCAAGGATGTGGATGGAGCGGCTGTCTACCCAGCCCTTCTCCAGTACCTTGGCAAAGATGTCTGTCAGTACCTCCTTGATGGGGCGCTTGGGAGGAAGCAGGTTCCAGTAGGGCATCGTGTCCACACCCGTGGACGGAAACTTGATCTGCGTGGCTGTCTGCTGTAGCACGTCCGCACACATATGTTCCAAGATTGAGTTCATAATCACCACCCTAGGGGAGGAGGGAGGGTCCATGCAGGCATTACCCCTGGAATTGGGTTACGGAAACACAGCTGAGGAACCAGGCCCACCGTATGCTGGGGGAGGACACACAGCACAGCTTACTACTGATGAGAAGCTTACTTGCCGGGCATGGAGCCTAGGAGAGGCACAGGCCAGGGAGTTTCTTCTCTTACAGGTTCTATCAATCTATTCAGATTTCTGTTTCTCCCTCTCCCCCGCCAACTTTTCCCATCCCCCAGGCCTGAGCTCTGCCAAATCAGGGTCATAAATAAAACACAATCGCTTCCACTTAAGCTGAGTACTTGGGGAAGGGGGAGGGAGAGTCCCACCCAGCCCTGGCCTCCTCCCAAAGTAAACTGTAACTTCCAGGAGAGGCCTTTAGGCAGTCCCACCAGACTCTTCCCGGCCCTGGGTAGCTGGGCAAAGTATGTACAGCCTGGAATCCTCTTGGGAGCATCTGGGGCTGTGAACACAGCTGGGGTCTGAGTACTGACTGCTGGGATGTCAAGAGTGTAGGGAAGGCAGCCTTGATGTGCAGAGCCCCTCCACCACCTGCACAAGGGAGCTAGGATTCCCACTGTGTGTGTGTGTGTGTGTGTGTGTGTGTGTGTGTGTGTGTGTGTGT